CCATGTACAAGACTCTATGTACAATACCTATATATAGTCTATATACATCAATAGTAAGATGTCCTTCCCATTTTTAGCGAATTTAAATGGTGGAAGATAAGATGTCCTCCTTATTAATAGGTATATTTAATTCCTTATAATCAAAGTAGTGCAAAGCTAATAAGGTCGAGTTAGGAGCTTAGGATGATTTTCTTGGAAAGTTTTGGGGTTGTTTGGGGTCTGCGACTCAATGTTAGCAACTAAGGCTATGAATGGAGAGCGTTTGAACTCACGGTTCACCAAGCTCAATTATGTGTATGTGCAAGGAGTGCACTTGCATAGGATCCATTTACTTTCATTCATGTTATTAGCCCGAAATCAGAATAATAAAGACCCGATTATAAATTTGTTTGGAATTAAATAGGTCAAATTAGAGCCCGTTTTCTGTAAAATATGTTAAATAAGAGCCTAAAATATTTTTTCCAGCACATGATCTTTAATACAACTGAACCGAGCCTGCGGTTCACACAGAGCATTCGATCCTCTTTTAAGGTTGCCATTCAACCAAAACTTTGATCTGCTAATATTTCATAATTTAAAATATTAAAAAAAAAAAATTGTACCGTCTACGTCTACAGTTAAATTTGTGAAGAAAAGTGTGAGAACCACATGCGGTCCTTGAACACTTCTTTTATGCAGTGGTCCAAGTGTTTCATCCATGTAATTGTCCAATTCTAATATAATAAATAAAATAATGTTATTTGGCTTTTGAATAACGAGAAGCATGCAAAGGTCAATATAATGTTTTGTACATATAATCACAACAATATAATGTTTCTTTCGCTTTTTTTTTTTTTAAGTTTCTTTCACTTTTCATTAAATTAATTATTTTTAAATAAAATAATTAACAAATACATACAAATTGTATCTATACATTTTATAATTGTTTAAACATAGAAAAATTTAGTCTTAGGTACTTGAATCACGAAAATTCAATCTATTATGCAAACTATTATTTAAAATTTTGTATAATTATATTTATTGCATTTTTAAATTATATATATAAGCATTTATAAATAACACCCCATAAATTAAACTTTATATATTTATATATATTGAATTTATAAATTATTTATTCTAAAATCAATTAATTTTCAATAAGTTTTAGTTATGCAAAAATAATAATTTTAAATTATATTTAAATTATAATAATATGGATAGTATTTTGGACCCTTTTTATTAGTTTTTACCATTCACACATATATAATTTGGACCGCTACATCCGTTTTTGTACCGTTTGATCCGTTAGTTCTGTTTTTATTCCGCTAGATCCGTCTGATCCGCACCGCTTGATACGCTTTCTCCATTCAGACCCTAAAGTTCATCTTCTCTTTTTTTTTGGTGTTTTTTTTTGTTTGAAACTTCTTTTGGTCTTCTTTCTCATAAATTAGTGTCTAATTTCCTTTGCGGAGAATTCATATATTATGCCGGGTTGATCTGGGAGAATATTAATTTATCCGTTGGCTTTATGTATTTTAGAAAAAGTTTTGATTATATATGATATCAGATGACCAAAAAAAAGGATGACTATATATGTCTATTAGCACAATAATTTACGTTAAAACGTTGCACTTTCTTTTAATATACGACGCTATAATTTATCTAATTCAAAACCAGAAAACCACCCTAATTATACAGTTTGATATGGGTCTGATACCATTCGTGACAGAAAATAAAAGCTTACAGGAGATATATAGGATGTATAATGCATTAATTTATCGTTCTAATTTTATTGAATTCAGTGGAGAGTGTAAACAAATGCGTATATATTAAGACTCAAAGAATCGTTTGAATACAACAAATGATTAACTGATTAGATGGAATCATTGAACTAATTCAGACCCACGAGCCCAAACACAAACGATGTTTTTGTGTGTTATCATTAACACTCCCACATCAACGTTGTCTCGTAATACAAAACATATACATATATTTATTCTATGTATTTTATATGTAATTACTTCTCTCGTTTCAAGATTGATACGATGACACACATACTACTTTTATTTAGCCAAATCAAATTTATGCATAAATATACTGCACAAGAGTTAATTGGAACGTTTTTTAATTTAGGACCTAATCTTTATATGTTGCTTATATAATTTAATTAAAATTCTGAGTTTATTCTTTGAGCCTAACTATATAAAGCATATAAGCTAAGTGAAACAAAAACAAGAAAGAAAACTATAAGATTGAAAAAGAGATGGAAATGTTTCAGAATTTTGTTTATCCTTCATTAGATTGAAACAAACGATACAATATTCTTTATATATACAAAACCACTAAACCAAGAATGAACCAGACATAACATTAACCATCATAAACCAAAGCTTAAACCTGATGTATACTCTCTAATAAAATGAAATCTAGAGCTAATGATTCCTTGATTCTAGCTTTGGCTTTATGTGCTACCTTTCTGGTCACACTCAACGAGTACCGAAACAGCGTTCATCGCATAATCTCTTATCAGGAACTATTCACTGTAATGTCTTACTGAATATTTGTGTAATCAATTAACATGCAAATATTGAGAAAAACGAGAACTTTTTATTGAAATTTCAAAACCAACATCAAAATCAAATCATGATACGAAACTAACAAACATGAATTGATAAGGAAATAAGATCACCATGGATATGGTTTTACACAATGTGTACACATATCTAGAGCTCATCTTTGACGCCATCCTCTTTCGAGGCATCTGGATTAGAAGATGAGAGCTTGATCGGATAAGATGCCTCCATCGCAATACCGCAACGCCCTTCCGAATCATCAATATCTCTCTCGATCTTTATGTAGCCCCCCTCTCCCCATTCGGCTCCCCATGAGTTTCTCACTATCCAATACTTTTTCCCTTTGGAGGTAACCCCATACCCGACGGCAGCCACACCGTGGTTCAGCTCTGTTCCACACTGTCCCGTAAACACCCCCTACAACACGTTACAAATATATGACCACATGTTATATATATATGACATATACTTTTGAGTTGAATGTATTATTAGTCGTTTAAATAAATAAAAGTATAGTAGCTAAAACTATATTATGTTCAACATGTGCCAGAAATTCATTTCGATATTACCTTTGAGTAAAACTGAAAATTTGAACTTCCAGCATCAATTGCAACAGATACAGGTTGGTTTGCAACAGCCTTAAGAAGAGCATTTTCGTTGTTTTCGGGTACATCTTCATGCCCATCGATCGTCACAACTACGCCATTATCCTTTGAAGCGTCGCATTTCCCATCAATACCTTCATAGGGATAGTTATCCTCAGTGGTGATTCCACCATTCTTCTTGATGAATTCAAATGCAATCTCCATGAGACCTCCGTTACAGCCTTCATTCTGGCGAGTATCACAATCCACAAGTTCTTGCTCAGATAGTGAGACCAACTTGTTTGTCTTGATCTTGTTGATTCCCTCAACGGCTGCAACGGTAGAAAATGCCCAGCAACTTCCTGGTAAATTTCAACAATTTCAAATCATTATATCAACAAAGAGATTATATTAAACCTAAATTTAAATATTTGGTTATATATTTTAAAATTTATATTAACACAAATTTACTAATAAGATTAAATAATTCATATATTTATCAAGATATTGAATCATGCGTAATATCACTTCTTGCATTATTTCTCACTATAATTGATCTTGCTTTATACTTACCACACTGTCCTTGGTTCTTGATTTCAGTGACAGCACCTTTCTCCCTCCAGTCAACAGAGGATGGGATTCGGGTTGCATTCTCATACATGAACCGTTTCGAGCCGCGTTTTGGTCCTTGCAACATCCTGTGATGCTTGATGTTAGAACCGGTGTAGGCACTCTTGAACTCATGAATGGTCAAGTCTGCAAACTTGTTGAGCTTAAGCTTGTAGGATTGATTCTTCTTGTTGGTGTTGTGAACATGCATCACATTGTGTCTGAAAACGTTGAGTCTCTTCTCCCTCTCATGGAGGCTCCTAGGAACAGAGTGGTGGCTCCTCCATCTATCGTAGAGCTTTGATAGGCCCTCTTCGCTCTCTAATTCCTTCTCTTCGTAATCGAATCCGCAAACGGTTTGGAGAATGAGAAGAGAGAAGAGAAAGATCAATAGAAGTTTCTTCATTATTTTTCTGTTGATTGATTATTTGTTTGAAGTTGGGAGTTTAATGAAATGGTGTTGGAGATATATATAGGCAAAGAGAACTGCTTACTTGAGAAATAGGAAATGACTACAATACCATCGACGTAACTATAAGGTGAAATATTATTTTGTCTATACGTTTGGACAGACTTGTAGAACACTTTTATGACACTTGTACACGCATCTGAAGGGATTAAGGAACCCAAAAGTACTCTCAATCATGAAATAATATCAAAATTATAATTTTCGTGCTGGTAAAATAGATATTAAAGGAAGGGGATATTACAAAAATACTACTTTTTTATGTGGACATTTGTAAAAATACCATTTAGGAATGTTCATTTGTTAAAATGCCACTAATTATAGATTTTTATATCCTATATTTTAAAATTCTAAACATTAAAAAATGTTTCGACCCCTAAACCCCTTTAAACCTTCGTAACTAAATTCTAATAAAACATAATTAACCCAAACATAAATAATATAAAAAAAAAATATTTTTGAAAAAGTGATATTTTGTAATAATTTAAGTGGCATTTTTGTAAAGTGACATTTGAAAAGTGGTATTTTTTGAAATTTCTCTTCAAAAAATATGAAAGAATCTTTAGAATAATTCAACATGACTTGCTTCAAGCCTTCATCGTTTGGACTTTGGATGATACTGATATATATTGATATTTTATCGTTTAAAGTAATAACCTAACTGGAGAATTTTGCGTATTTATTGGAAAAATTGTAATCGATGGATAGGAATAGCATTATACAATAATAATGGAAAAGTCAAGATGAAGCAACTTTTGTTGCTTAGGAGAATAATGAAAGCAAATAGTTAGATTAAAATATCTCTATTAACGGTGGCAACTTGTACAATCAAAATCTTTTTCTTTTTTTTTTGTAAAGGAATTAAAATTAAAAAAAAAAAGAAATATTTCGATCAATAATTTTTTTTAGGTAAATTTAATAATTTATCTTCTTTTTTAAAAAATATATTTTCGGCCATGTTTAGGAAAAAAAAAAAGAGAGTAATGAGTACATAAATTTGATACCAAAGATACC